GGAACCAGTGAAGCGGAAAATGGAAAGCGGGGATAAGTGAAAGTACTCGAACGACCTATAAATAGTCATCTCTCGGAGGAATCAGTCCAGTCATCACACGAAGACGATTGTAGATAGTAACAATCGAAACGTCGTGAACTAACGTGACTTGGAATCTCTCCAGTTTTTATAATTTTTCTTTTTTCATTTCTTTATTTTTATTTATTCAATTGTTCTATTTTTACTCGTATTTTATTTCACTACTCATTCATTTTTAATTCTCCTTTTTTAGTTGTTTCAGGGATTTCAAACCATTTTATATATTAGACAATGGAAGTTCGAACTAATGAAATTCACCAAATTGATCTTTTTAATACCCAGATATGTGTGTATTTTGACTGAGCGTTAGTAAAATTTTTAGTGTCGTTTTTATGAGTTGTCAATGACCTTGATGTTCTTGAAGACGAAAAAAATAATTGAATTAACTGTAACTAGATTCACGTGGCAATGCGATGATCATTTTCTGACCAGGATCATCCTGGGACATATATTTTCCGAGGAACGTACACTCCTCTGCTAAACGCCTCTACAGGTGGTCAACCCTTATCGATTCAGTGGGTTTCCGACTCAACGATAACAGCAATTATCAGCAACTGCACACATAAATGCTTCAGTTATTTTTACAACCCACACCTGGCGAAATTTCCTTGTAATTCCCTACTCGAATTACCACCATGAATATGCATGATGTTGGTGGAGAATGTAGGTACAACCGGAGCCGACGGTAGAACGCAGGCGTGCTTTTCAGGAAATTTCAGCAACCCCATCGCAGCCTAGTTTGCTTTCAACAGTTTGTATGTGGAATTCGTCGTATTTTCGTCGAAGTCCTGCACCTGAGCGCGTTATGAGGCTTGCTTTGTTTTTCTGAATGAACCGAGTCTTCGGAAAAAATCACGGACGTCGTCATGATGACTGCTCCCGTTTTTGTGAGGAGTTTTCGGAAGTTGCTTCTTTTTGAGGGATGAATAATGTAATAAACAATCTACCCCTGTTTTCTTTCAACTGGTGAGTTTCTTGTATTCTCTGTCTTCATACGCTCAACTTATTGCAAATTGCAAAGATATTTTAATTTCGCAATTGTATTTTTCGATTATGTAATCTCCCACTCCTCCGAAATTTTGAAATAAATTTATTATCATATGAATAATCTGAACTACTCAATAATAATCCGTGGACCAGTAACTTAGAGGTTGATTTCTTTATTATTAACAATCGAGACACAATTGTTAAAAGTCGAAGAATGTAAGTTGTTAAAGTTGATGGGAAATTTTTCTAATCGTGAAATGGTCTATCTTGGAACTTCCCGAGAAACTTTCCTCTGTCCACATATTTTTCTTTTAAACAAGGTCTGAATATTACTCACGATGCACGATGCTATTTTCTCTTTTCTGAATAAAGTTTATTCTGAGATAAATTTCGTTGAAAAGACTGCCGCAGTATTTTGTGACCTGTCAAAAGCATTTGACTGCGTTGATCACAAAATACTGCTGA